CCTGTTCTGAACTCAGCAAGAGTATTTCACGGGCCACCTCGAGTGGTCTGCCGCGCCAGATAAAGCCCATGATTTAACTTTGAATTTGCATGAGCACTGTATTGCATTTTGTACTGTGACTAGCCACGCAGGGAATGACATAAATCAGCTTAGAAATCATCTGACATCTTCGAACGATTACCACTGTCGGTTTAGTCGGGTGGTGTCAATCGTCAGGTTTTCGTAACTGTTTCATTGAAGATTCCCGTCGAAGTGGAGGTCGGCACATTTCAAAGGTTTTTCCAAACATCTAGAAGTAAGTCATATTTTCGGATACTTATATTGACGACCAGTTTATTCTCATGCTCTAATAAGATGTCGGAGCAGAATACTGCAACTTGTTGAATTCTGCAGAACTTTAAGCACCGCTGAATAATGGCAAAACACTTCGACAGTCCAGTTAGCTATACTCAACTGAGCATTACATCATAGGCGTAATTTCCATTGCTCCTTTTGCTGCTGAAACGATTACTAGAAAGCTTCTTTAAAATCGATATTATGAGCTATCATCTTTACTTCCCGACTTGTACTTGGACTCCAGAAGTTTGGACTGGGGGGAGGGGAGGGGGCAAACTCATCGCTGAGTGCCTATTCGGACACTGTAAAGGATGGGGGAGGGGGGGACGGAGGCTCGCCCAGAATAATATAAATCGACACCCGTAGTGTATTAATGATTTCCAATGCATACCAATGACCTTGTGTCGATCATTAAACACTTACCACTACTGTCAACCTGACCACAAGCACTCACCAGTGCACTGCCGACAAGCACATAAAAGTTGAACGCCGCCGAGCGCGACCTCACTGTCAAATATTCAGCACCTGCATGACCCAAGTGATCTCTGAGTCTGTGACGTCCGCTAGCCAAAGTTTTACACGATAAATGATAGAGGACATCCTAAAGCCATGGGCACCACCAAGTTCTAGGAGCAGAGAAATCGGAACCAACGCGGTCGTAACGATGCCGCCAATCTTGTTTGCTACCTGTAGTAACACTTGAAAAGGACCCAAATTCCCGTGGTTAGCACGCAAATGTATTGAAGAAAAACAGCACTAAATGCGATTAGCCCGCTACTCGAAATTCTGATCTGTTGGCAATGTATGTACCGAGTCCACGCTTTGCCTTCACAACATCGCGCCGGGACCAAGATCCTTCGAAGGGCTCAAAGCGTGTTCCGCATGCCAAAGACGCTGGCAGGTATCCCGTGGGTAACCAGCTCAACGCGCCGAGTCTGAAATCAACATTCAAAGTTTGCCGTGAGTGAGTTGGTGTGACTGCTCCGGCGCAGTCTGGCCTACCGCTCTGTGCCGGACAGCCCTGACTCCTCACACCGTCACCTTGTCACGGCTGCCCGGCTGGACCTGTCAGCCGGCGGGGCGTGCCCGCTTCCTGCTGGCGTTGGGCTGCGCCGCGCTGGCCGGCTACCGCCGTCAGCACCTGCTGCGACTCTTTTCCAGCGAGCCGTCTCCACGGCGCTCGAGTTCGCGCCGCTGCCGGATGTCGCCGCGCCAGCGTAACTAAGTGCAGCGAGCGACACGGCTGACCCCGGAGGAACTCGGACCCTGGAGACCGTGGCGGCGGCGTATCGCGTCTGGTGGACCGACACGCCTCTAAGACAGCAGTCGGAGGACAGTCGGAGGACTGGCCCCAGGCTGCGCGACGACCAGAGCCATTAACTTGCCCAGCGGGCCCTTCACTTTGAGGGAATGTTCCACATTTGTATAGCGTTTTGAATTGAAGTGGCATCTGGAAGACCTTTTGGTGCTGTTTACAATCCTGCCATTCTTAATGCCCAAGTCCTTCTAGTTTCTGAGCTACGTGCCCGCGAAAATAGGGAAAGGTTTATCGAGGAGAGTGCTTCAAAGCTACTTTGGCATTCATGACATAATAATAATAATAATAATAACGTCACTCAAATCCTGCCTTTCCATAAGCCATGCACGATCAAGGCCAAAATAAATCATTGTCGAGGCTTTCATATCTGGTGCGACATCGTCGGCGCAATTTCTAGATATAACGGTTGTCAATGGGCTCCGAGTCACTGTGCAAGGCGCGATGGCGTAATCAAATCATGACGTATTGAGGAGCGTATTTACTAGACGGAGCCTTGTGCTGTCTAGAACAGTCTTTTCCTCTTAAAAATATACCAACAGGTATAAGTGGGCTCGTTTCATCACATCTGATGAAACAAATATGAAAACTGTCACAAAAAATACAAACTGTCTTCAAATATGAAACATTTCCTTCAATCACAAATACCGATGATAGCGGAAGAGTAACACGCATAATTCGTAATAGTCGCAAGTATGTATGCGAAAAACTGTTCACTGTCAGAGATTGCGTGGAGCTTCCTCTATCTGGGGAAACACATTTTGAATGGACAATTTCGTCCGGTTCAAAATGAGTTTCCGCTGAATTAAAATCACCTCGCAATAAAAATACATCTTAACCGTTTAGTATCATGTGTTTTAATGACTATTCGGTCACTGACACCGCCCACGGAATCAACATATAAGCGTAATCATATTTTATTTCGACTGTTAGCGTAGTCTGTGACTGAATGTTCATTCCAACTGCATTCTTCTAAACAGCTAAAACGGAGTTTGCACTGCAGGGAGATCGATGTAATTCATATGTACCGGCTTAGCATGTTTTGCTTTGCACAAGCACTAAACCATCAGATGGATCCAGCCCAAAGGTTTGCGAGAATGTCGCTGTCCGCCAGTCTGCCGGTACCAGCATTACGATCTCGATCACTCTCGTCATGGAAAGATACGCTACTCGCACGAGGTTATGGAATATATCCGTGGAGGTGCCCAGGATCCCGGAGCAAGTGGTAAAGGAGTGTCGTTCCCACCAGCTCGTCAGCTTAGTCGGCGGGATGGGCGGCCTCTTCAGCCTGCTGCTGGCCATATCTCTCTCTCCGGTCCACGGCCGAGCTGGCAGCGCGTGTTTTCACTTTCTTGTACGGGCAGTGGACCCACCAGAGTTGTCCTAGTTCATCAGTGATTGGGAACTGCCGTCACGGTGGAGTGCTTTACACAGTCAATCGCAAGGTCACTGGGGGAGCAATATCGGAACTGCACCCACTGATATCGAATGAGGATAGCGATCTGATTAAAATTGAAACAAGCTCTGAGAAAATATGTATGCGAATTGAAGCAAAACTGCCACCGGTTTTCTGTTCGGCTGACTGTAGCTCCACATAATCCTCTCATTCATTTTTCGGTTAATAACATCGAAAGAGCAGAGAGCTTCCTGTGCGTTGCATGAAATCATGAAATATTTGAGAAGCAAGTGACCATTAAGCCCTTTGTGAAGGTGGTCAATAACTGTTCACGGAAAGAAGGCGACGCAACGTTGATGAAAGCCATGCAGAAAGAACAGCAGGCCCACAAATTATCATCTGCAGCCCCCTTGCTGCATGCAAGAGTTAAGGTGGGAGGGGGATAAGAGGCGAGCCACCACTAAGTGCTGAAGCGGGAAAACCACCCAGAGGTTTTGCAGGTCAGAACAACGTGACTCATTAGTTGGTCGCAATGGGAACCCATCGGCGAAATCTCTCGCTCTCTGTCCTGATTCGGTGCTTCGTGGTGACTCGCTCCTCTTGCGCTCGTGACTGATAACTTTTTGGGCTTTCTGGAGGAGCACTTCTAGTTCTGCGGTCATTTTGCGTATATTCCGCTCGTCTCCGACTCCGGCTCTACCCTTCACCTGAAGATGGCATGCAGCTGAAATTTTGAAGTCTTTGGCCTTTTTCCTGCCCAGCTATCACTATCACTTCGTCCAGATCTGCCAGTCATCACACTCACATACACTCACTTTTGTTACAGTTACTTTCAAATGGAACATTACATAAGCTTAGTAACAATCACCCCAGAGCGGTGTACGGTACGCATTCATAATGGGCCCAGGGTCCAAAAAAGCACCAGGTAACCATGTGACAAGGAGGTGCGAGGGCGTATCCAAGCACTCAGAAAAAAAGACTACCCTCATTTCTCACCACGGTATTTTAGTGAATCTTCATGTCACCAGACTTTTCTCAGTGAACAGCTTCGGTTTTAGTTCTGGGAGTCAAGCCGCCCCACGAGAGGCAGTGCCCGTCTGACCTGAAACTGCCGTGAGCAGAGCACCTTGGCCCGGAGTGAAGCAGGCTGACGGCCCGTCACCTGCCTGACACCCTCGAGCACCGCTGCGTGCGTGGGCTGGCACGGACAGGCACTGCCCTGAGGCGGCGCGCTGCTGATGGCGCCCGGCGGGCGCACGGCACGCTTCACCAGCCGCAGGGCGGCGGTGCGAGCCACCGATCGTCCAGCCGTCCCCACACAGCAGCCTCCCCATCGGAAGAGCGTTCCCCGCCGATCAGGCGCAATGTGAGTTGGAATTACGGCCGCGAGGAAATGGAGCGTGGTTTAAAACCGCTGCGAATGTTCTTTTTAACGTCGGGTCCACGGCGATGCGGTTGCGGATATCGCGAGTGCAAAATTACGAACCCTGAACAGCCTCCAGAAATGGTGTTTCTTACTGAATTGTTAAATATTTAAGGCGTACACTGCATATAACGGTTCCATCTGCTTGACTGTCATTTCTTCATTTCGCAGTCAATGCTGAATGGCAAGAGTGCCTTTTCTCGTTGCGAAATCAAGCAGACGTTTCAACGATAAGTTCTGCCAGGTCAACAGCCAGGTCAGATGCCCTCGTCAGCTATCAGTACCGAAGCGCTAATATTTACACCACGGTGCATCCGCATTCTGAATGAGCAGCCATAACAGAATTTGGAGGCCTCATGCGCACTCAGGGAGACGTTTGGTGCACCAGCCAAAGCGCCGCAGGTTGAATGGGTGTTATGACCTCTGAAACATAATAGCGGAGGTGAAACAGACACTAAACGTCTTGAGAAAAGTCATTTTTTCTTTCCGCATCTTTGATTGCTTATAACTTTTTTCAAAACCAGCCTTACCTTTTTGCCTCATCCCGTGTCTGTCCTCTGGCACCACCAAATCAAATGCAAATGTTCCACGGTGAGCACAAGTGGCAGTGCTTGGGGTCGGTAAATCACTGCGTGTTCATCGGGTTACCTCCCTTTCTTCTACCACCACTCGATGCGTCGGTGCTTCTCTCCGACCCTGACGCTCAACAACAAACAGCACCCTCGCAATCGGCCCACTGTTCCTGCCCTGGCCTCGAGCAGTGCTGACGGGCGCGCCGTGCCGCGCGGCCGCCGGTCCGGCGCAGAGCCGGCTCGCTCCGGCGCGGACGGATTCCGGACGGCGGTGGCGACCGGCGCGGCCGCTCCACTGCCACGGCCCGCACTGAAGCCGGCGCGTATCGACGGCGGCGGAACGGCGACCGGCACCGCCACCTGCGTGACCGACGCGGGCCGCACCGCACCGGGACTGAGTCCGGAGCGGACCACGCCCCGAGAGCGCCCGGACCGGGTCACACGCGGGTCGAGTCACACTCGGACGGGACAGAGCCAGGGGCACACCCAGATCTCACCCAGGCCACACCCGGAACACGCCCGGACCGGGTCACACGCGGGTTGGGCCACACTCGGACCGGATCAAGCCAGGGGCACACCCAGACCTCACCCGGGTCACATCCACAACACACTCGGACCGGACCACTCCCTGGACCAAAACAAGACCACACCCAGACCACACTCAGGCCTAAGTACGCGCGGACCGACTCACATCTGGAAACGGCCACACCTTGACCGGAACACATCAGTGCTGGACCTCATCAGACCAGATCTGATAAAACCACGCGCGGACAGAACCACTCCCGCACCACACTACGACCGGGTCGCCAGGAGCAGACCAACCTCGTACCAGCCAGAGACAACTCCGTGGCGTCCCCGCATGGGCGGCGGTGCCGGGACAGCAGTAAGCTCGTCCTGTTTATGCGTCGGTGCACGCCGCTTGCGCACGGCTGGGTCGCTTGATTGCCACGGCACACTTATAGTCGGCCAAGCGGAGCTGTCCGATGCCCGAACCAATAGCAATAACGGCCCCCGGTACGATTCTTGGAGGCCCAATAACTGCGCAATCGAGGACAGTGAGGCGGACGGCCATCGAGCCCTTCAAACGATGTTTAGGGCACATGTGGGGTGGGCTTCAATTTAGTTTCTTCTTTACAACGGCCAAACGGACCGTTGTGAAGACCATTGTATATACTCAAGTACACGGGTGTTTGTTCGGGGGAGGGGGGGAGGTGGACGGGAGAAGATTGTGGCTTAAGGGAAAGTCATTTAATCTACAGCTTGCGACATTGGAAGGCTGGTTCGCCTTGCTATAGCAGTGTCGCGCAGGGCGGTTACAGAGTACAACTGACTACGGTTCTGGTTGAACTGATCTCGCTGAAGCTGATGAACGCTGGCCTAAACATTGTACGACATGAAAACAGCGTGGCATACAAATGGTGAAGTCGCTGTCCTCTCTCTCATCACACCACTGATATCGCGGCTCAGTCGGTCAGGGAGTGGAGGCGCTCTCCGAGGCTAGACCCCTCCGTCGATGGGTGTCTGTCAGGCCCATCTCTAGCGACTCAGAACAGCTGTGTTAACCAAAGCGGTCCGGACGGTGGCTCACGGTCACCTCATCTCGGCGCGGCGGCCGTAACTGGCGGCCGCGGATCCGCCGGCGTCGGACGCGGGCCATCTCGGCCCTGACCTCAGGGAAACAATGCGGTTCCGCCACTGTACGAACGGCAGATGACCCACGAGTGCTGGGTGTCCAAGCGGGGCACGCGGAGGGTTACCGCGCTAAGGACAGTCGTCTGGAGCACCGCGGGGAGCGTTGCTGGTCATTGGTTCTTTTGGGACAGGATATCCACGTAAATGTTTCAAAACACTTTTAAATGTTTTTTAAAGCATATGCTGATTTTCAGCACCTTATGGAATTTCTAGCCGCCAATTCCAGAAAAATGAAACCTTTCAAAAACAAAATCGACTTGAAATCGGGCTTATTACGATAAGCAACCTGCTGGCACGACTGTCCATGCAAGACCTCCGTTTCGTTGTTGAACGCATCTGGCCGAGCCTTCGTAACAACGGCTTGTGCCACGGAAGGTGCTGGCGCTTCACCGCTACCAGCGAAGTCTCCGCTGTCGGCATAACGTCACACTTCATGCAGCGTGCTCAACGATCTTACGATCGAAGAGCCTTGAACGTCTCTGGTGTGACTTCATACAGCGATGGCGCATGTGCACAGGCAATCGACTTATGTCGGGAATCGGAGAGGCCGCCCTCACGAGCTCCAGCGCCGCACTGTACGCCAGCTCGGCTGCGGTGTCACGGGCTCCAACGCCGCGCTGTTGGCCAGCTTGGCTGCGGTGTCTGATGGCCTGCGCCCTGCTCGCCGGACCATTACCGCGCCGCCCGCGGCCCGACGCGTTCCTGTTGATCGTCCCGGCCACCAGCCATTACCGTGCCGAGCAGGGCCGCGTGTGCCGGGGGCGGCACATGCGCGCGGCAGCAGCGATACACGCCGCTCGCCGCTCATCGCCGCCAACGAGTACCCTCCACGGGCCGGGACACCGACCGTGTACACACTAATTTCGCAGCGCAAATAGCGCTCGCACCGCGCGTAGCCACTCGTTGTATGGCCGGCCCGCTGCCGTCGACCTCGGACGGAGTGGGATTGGTCGCGGCGGGTCGGCGCGGCTCCCGCCGCGCTGCGCGCCGCTGTGTCAGCTATTATGGACATTGGACGACGAACATGCGACGGACATGGGCAGATGTGACGGACGTGACCAGATGTGGCGGCCATGTGACGGAAGTGACCAGATGTGGCGGCCATGTGACGGAAGTGACCAGATGTGGCGAACATGTTACGGACGTGTGACGGACGTGGTCAAATATGACGACATGTCACGGACATGTCACGGACATGGTCAGATGTGACGGACACGTGACGGTCGTGACCGTCACGTATACATGACCGGGCGTGACCGTTACATCACATGTCCGTCACGGTTATGACGGACATGTGACGGGCGTGGCTGGTTGTGACGGACACGTGACGGGTGTAACCGGTCGTGACAGGCACCGCCGGTGTCGGCCGCGCAGCCCGCCGTGACCCGCTCGGCCGGCAGGCGCCCTGTTGACGTCGCCAGCTGCACTGTGACGACGCCGTTCGTGTGCCAATGCGTCACAATGCGCGCGCAGACGGTCGTTGCAGTAATGCTTGCAATGCGTCTGTTGGCCTATTCCGAGCTGTCGTTTGTCATGCCTGCATCGTCGGGGTTCGCCAATACTGGGTAATGAGGTGCCGGTTACTTTCAATGCGTGATTGAACATGGGACGCCTGTTTGTGACGTCCGCATGTTGCGCATCACTGTTTGTGATAGCCCTCAATAGCAGAGTGCTGCCACTGAATTTTCCGAGTCACTAGACAATAAATGACAAATCTGACACGAATGTGTTTGATCCCCTCATGCCGTGCGTAAAAGGAGCTTTCGCGATGCATCATAACAATGTGGGGAAAGTGCCTTCAAGCCCCAAGGACATCTCTCAGTAGGTTCCTGACATGTGTCAACGATGTGTCGTTATTGGAAATTTGTGCGAATTAATGAAAGCTCTCGACTGTTTTGCACAATTTCAGTAATGTAAGCTGGAGGCCAGCAACCTAAGCCATGGAAGTCATTTCACATTGTGTGGTACGATAGTTGACGCACTTTTCAATTGCGCAATCGAAAAGTGCGTTCACTCGGCAGAAACGAAATACGGTCGCAGACGGGAGGGAGGCATGGTACCTACACCATATGCCAAGATTTTGATGACATTTGGGAACGCCTGGTGCAAGCGGTGCGGACAGCAGAAGAAGCAGAAGCAGAAAAAGCAGAAGTTTGAGCATTGTTACCAGTTGCTGCAGGTTTGGTGAAAAGCTCAGCATGTGAGTGCTAAGCAATTTCTTAGTTTTATCTTGGGGTGTCTAATGGCTCCCTGCAACTTAAACATTTTCCCGAGCCGTAATGGGTCAAACGGTCAAATTTTAGTGGTAGGTTGACGTTGTTGGTCACCTCTGTCCACTACTTTAGTTAAATGTACCTTTTCTAGTAAAATCTCCATTCTGACAAGCCCATAGGCCTGGTACCGCGAATCATGACACCTTTCTGCTCTCCCAATGGCATGAGTGAAGCCTCCTTTAGCTGCATCGATTTCGCGGAAGCCACGGACATGACGCTGATGAACGGTAACCGCCGCGCATGCTCTGCTTGAGCATGCCGACCTCTGATGAACTGTGCCGTTTGATCGCTCCCTCCTCCCCCTCCCCCAGGACCCGCAGCGGGCGGGGTCATGTCGGCCCGGTCACCAACATCACGACGTCGGTCGCACTGTACAGTCATGCGTCCCCATAGCAGCACGGGGTGACCTCCCGTGCCCATTGTTCGGTGAGTTCCGCAGCCTCGAAAGCTCCTCCCAACAGCCGCGCCCGGACATAGTGTGGCTCCATCGTCCTGATCAATGATGCTGTACGTCAGGTGAGCACGAGTGTTTGGTCTTATGTAAATGTGAACGCATGGCAACACGACGATTGGCATGACATGTCGGTGAGCGGACGCTTTCAAGCATATTTGCGGACGACGGACCGGGCCTATCTCGCTGGGAGTCCGTGCTCAGGCCGAGTACGTCGCCCGGTCGCGGCCGCCGTCGCCGATCAGGCCCGACGGCCCGATGACCCTATGGCCTCAGGCCCGATGGCCCAATGGCCTCAGGCCCGATGGCCCAATGGCCTCTGCAGTGCCGCCGGCGGCCGTCGGCGGCTCCCGGCCG